TTTTTTTTTTTTTTTTTTTTTTTTTTTGGTACTGGGGATCAAACTCGGGTCCTTGTGCTTGTGAAGCAGGTACCAGAACCACTGAGCTAAATCCCTGGCCCGATTTTTGCTGGTGATAAAACTGGCACAGAGGCTAGATGACTTTGAGGTGCACTGCTGATTTAATGCCTTGTGATATAAGATTACTCCACTAAATTGTACTGCCCCTTATTTGAGGGCTTTGAGGAAGGTTGGAGAGTATTGTATAAGAAATAAACACCTCATGTTAATAGCTGTTTTCAAGTCTTTCTAGGAGAAAAAAACTGGAAACAGCTGAGGGCTTGGTTTCTCACTCTGTCTCTGCCTCTGCTTGGTGAACTGACCTGGGCAAGTCATTTCTTCTGGAAGCCTCACTTTTTCATACAATGAAGAATTGGACCAGATGACGCCTTCATTTAACTCATTCTGTTCTGCAGTTCTCTTAACTGTGTGCTATAGCTACATATTAAATGTTCACAGTATACCTTCATGTTAGGCTCAGGGATGCTCTATAATAAAAAAATATATATTTTTAATATTTAAAAAAATAAATTTTAAATGCTATTAATATTTGTAGGCCTTACAAAGCCAGGCATGGTGGTGTACTGTTACAGTTCTGGCTCCTCAGAGGCAGAAGGCTAAGGCAGGAGAATTAAGGGAGCCCCTGGGTTTGAGACCAGCCTGAGGAATAGTGAGTCCCTGTCTCAAAAAACAAAACAAAACAGGGCCGGGGATTTGGCTCAGTGTTTCCACCGCGTGCTTTGAAAGCACAAGGGCCCAAGTTCAATCCCCAGTACCAAAACAAAACAAAAACTCTCTGTATATATTATACTTTGCTTTTTTTCCTGTTCTCTCTGTTTTTATGTTTTGTGTTTGTGTTTTGATAGATGAGTCAATTGAGAGTGAACCCACATTGGAGGGTCAGAGCAAAACTTTCAGAGACAAGGTAAGTATGATAGAATTACAATGTGGGGGTCACAGCAGTTCCTTCTGAGCCTCAGGTTTCTCCATCAGCACACAGCTGGTTGGATCCCAGACTCCTGGTGCTCTCAGCTCCTTCACTCTGTGATTCTGTGGACAGAGTCTGCAGAGACCTACTGGTCTCACAGGACAGACGTGCTCCTGCCTGGGCAGCTGAATGCAGTTCTGTGCCAGTGTTTGGAACTTGTTCTCTGGGCTAATAAGGTGTATCATAACACTTGTTTTTAGGATTTTGTCCAAGATTTAGAAAATATTGGAAACTTTCCCATTAAAACACATTAAACTTTAGGATTTCTAATATGGAAGGTTCCTACAAAGATCATTTCACCCTTGATGGCAACTGATAAAATATTCAGTGCTCCCTCAGGGAGAAAGAGTAAATGTTTGTTAGCAATGTCTGTAAGGTGTGCACCACAGATTACTGATGGAAAAGCCATTTTTTTTTTAAGACTAGGAAAAATTTATTGAGAGAAAGAAAGCTTCTGTCTTGTTACGGAAGGAATTTGCAAGTGACACACAGAGGCAGCAGAATGGAAGTAAAATAACATTTACTCATCGACAAGGGTCGATTGCACATAAGCAGTACCTGGATCGACGAAGCACTGGGTTACGACTCCTCCTTTTATAGGGTTTTATAGCCTTGACTTCATTTGGGTGGTTACATTTCATTCTCACAGTTCAAATCATAGATACAGGATAGTTAACTTTGACCCAGATATAATTCTTTGCAGTTGGGCAGTTTATCTTTAAGATCCGCCTAGTTATCTATTCTAGTCTATGGGAAGCGGGTGTTCAGGGTCAGGGGAGCAAATGTTAGCAATGGGTTCTTTCATCTTGATACTTTTACAGTCATGTGGTTCTAGTCTCTTCGGAGCTCAAGGTCTTGATGTGTGCCCTGTTATCTCGGTAAGACCAAATGCCTCATTCAGCAGTTAGTGCCCTTGGTGCCTGTTAGTTCTGAGCTAAACAAAACAAACTGCTCTTAGAGACAGCAGAACCTGTTTTACATTTTAACACTTTATAGGTTTTTGCCATTTATAAAAGTTTTCCCTATCAGTCTAAGAAGAGGGACGGAAAAGTGGATTGCCCATACACCCCACTCCTCACACGTGTTATACAGTAAAGCCATGTGGTGAGGCAGGTACAAAGTGGGACAAAACTATAAGACCTAATTGAAAATTACAAGGTGGGCATGAGGTAGGGCAAAACCATGACCAACCAATAAGATTACAAGTACAGTCACCCAGGCAATATTGATTAAATGGGGGTCAAGTGGGGGAGCAAGTCCCATAGCAAGCATACAAGGATTTTCAGTAAGGGTAGGAATCATGGATTTTCCTGGAAAGTCTGGGCTAAGACCTTGGCCCCTCACCCAGGTGATTGATACCTATTTAGAATATCAATCACTAAAGAAAAAGGAAAAAATAAATAGAATATCAATCACTGCTATTTATCCTCAGGGGAAGCACAAGGGTGTAGTAGTTTCTCTCCTTTTACAGTTCTGGCCTTCAGTGAATGTGTCTTGATTGTCCTCCGTGTTAAAGTCTTTGATTTGTAAATGGCCCTTTACAGTTTATAAAATAAGCATGTCAGATCTGTTAATATACTTTGATGTGTACAACAGTCCTAAGAATTACAGTAGCTAGGTACGATAGAAATGACTCAACTTAGAAGTGAGGTGATGATGGCTTGGGGAACCTAGAGTTTCCTTGTAGTTCCCTGCCTCTCCAGGGATCGAACTTAGGACCTTGCGCTTGCCAGCAGGCTTGGCACCACTGAGCTAAATTCCCAGCCCTCCTTGTAGCTCTGCAGCTAGGAATAGCAGTATCCACCCAGACTATCTCCACTAATCAGATTTGTCTCTTGCACAGATGGACTCTTGCATTGAAGCCTTTGGTACCACCAAACAGAAACGAGCTCTGAACTCCAGGAGAATGAACAAAGTTGGTAGTGAATCTTTGAATCTAGCAGTAGCTAAAGCTGCAGAAGAGATCATTGATACAAAGGGTGTGGAAGGTAAGCAGCCAGAACTTGGGGTAAGAATCTGCCCGCAAAGATAGCTTTCTCTTCTTTTGAGATCTTTTGTCAGCCTCCTAGATTGAAGTGATGGGGTTAAGGCTGGATTCCTCCTGCAGTTTGCTGAGGGCCTTCTCAGGGACAGTTTCAGGAAGCAGTAAGAAGCATCCCTGTGGTGCTGCTCTCTGTGGCATACTGCATTCAAGTGGAGGAGACAGGCTTAGGTGTGTCTGCCCTGTTCCTGATGCAGGGTTATAGCCTGCAGGGCACAGAGGAAGGAGAAGGTCTCATGTCTCTCTGAGTCCCAGAACGTTTCAGTCAGAAAGGTGATGTGATGATGAAACTCAGCCTCCAGAGGTGGCATTTCACTTTGAGGTTAGTGGGTCTTTTTCTGATCATTGACAGTTTGCATATTTAACCATATTATTTTTAAATTATTTATTATGCAAATATATTAAAAGAGCATTAGTGAAAGTTTTTTAAGAATGAAATTCTACAAATTTTGAGAAAATCTGTATCCAGTGATTACTATGTGTAAATTTTTAAATACATTTACAATATTATTTTTTGTCATATGATACAGATCTACCGAAATTTTATATATTCCATGTGATCAGCCAGTTATTCCCCAGCTCCATCTTCGGAATTTAAAAATATTCTAAACACTTAGTTGTGAGTTGTGTTCTCTTTTTTGTTCTTATTGACTGTTCTGGACCAGCACCAGGCTCTTTTAATCACAGTAGCTTTGTTATTGGTTTCTTATCTCATAGGGAAAATTCCTAAAAAATGTATTGGTTATTATAGCATGTTTTTTTTTCCCGGTGATTTTAAGAATTATTTTGTCAAGTACCTTCAAAAATCCAATTGAATATAGCTGGGCGGGTGGTGCCACCTAATCCCAGCACTTGGATGGCTGAGGCTGGAGGGTCTCTGAGTTTGAGGCCAGTCTGAGCTACATAGTTCACGGCCAGCCTGAGCGGCATAGCAAGACCCTGTCTCCAAAAAAAGCAAAAAACAAAATCAAATCAAATTAGGATTAATGTGGGGGAGAATTAACATCTTTATACAATATTGTATTTTCCTATGTAGGAACATAGAAATAGGTCTCTGTTTATTCAAAGAAGTACTTTAATGTCTAAGTAAATTTTTTAATTTTTCGTTAACTTTCAAGGTATTACAAGACATATAAAATGAAAAATAATTAAACTGTATTCCCAATATTGTTTACCAGGCCACTATTAGAACTTTTCTGTTTTCTTCTCCATTATTACCTTTATGTGTATGTAATTCTTATCATTATTGTAGATTACATTTTTATATTCTGATTTTTTTTCCACTCAAAATGGGTGGTGAAATTTTTTGCAGGTTAAGCCCCTAAAGGCTATTTTGAGTATCTCTCATTTTATTAATTTAATTAATTTATTTTTTGTGGTACTGAGGATTGAACCTAGGTCCTCACACATGCTGTGCAAACAGCCTTCTCACTTGTGTCTTCTCTCATATTGTATTATAAATGTTTATTAGCATGTGTGCCTCTCCTAACTCTACTGCAGTTATTTGCCAGGAACCATGCTATATCTGCCTTCTCCTGGCCCTACCATCCCGAGCATCAGCCTAGAGGGCAGCTTGGGACACTGGGACAGAATCATTCAGAATCAGTCTTTTTAGGCTTACTGCTGTTTCAGCTGCATAGCTTGAGAAGAGTGTTGGGGAACCCGAAACCAAACAAGGTGAAACTAACACTAACTTTCCCTTTACTAAAAGCACTAGTCAGTGATGCCATCCAGGGTGACTTGCAAGATGACTCCCTCTACCTTCCTCCCTGCTATGCTGATGCAGCCAAGCCTGAAGATGTGTATAAATTTGAAGATAGTATCCTTTTTGTGGTAAAAAAAAAAAAGCTGTCTTATTTCATATTGTGATGTTTGTACAGCCAGACTCTCCGAGGGTGTCCTTCATCCTGTGACATTCATGAAAACAACATCTAAACCTTTGCACTTCTCACTAGCTGAGACAACCACCCCTGAGATTCAGACCATTCCTTAAAATGTACCAAATGCCTTCAGCTCAGCCCTGTAGAGATCACTCTCCACAAATAGTAAAAATAAAACTTTTGAATTGGATAATACCCAATGTCTAGGACAGACTGAGTTGGAACATGGAATTTTATTACTTGATGGGTCTGTTTAGATGAAAAGTGCCATGGTGGCTTTACAGTAAGAAAGACAAAGCAGGGCCTTGGATTTAGCTCAGTGGTGCTGCCACCTGCCTTGGAAGTGCAAGGGCCTGAGTTCAATCCCCAGTACAAAAAAAAAAAAAAAAAAAAAAAAAAAGAG